GCTGGAGCCCTGGCTCGCAGACTCTGCTCCCACTTCCAGACCGCACCCTTGATCCCAAAGGAAACAAATTCAGGCTGCTGCCTGGTATTCCCCGCCCCGGCCGGAGCACCAGGGAGCCACTGGGAGGCTCTGGAGCCTGGAGCATTTTAAGGTATAAGGGTGTCAAAGAGCAAAAAACACCAAGAAAAGCTCCACCATTCGCAAGTCAAGGGTCGTATATACTGACCCAATAGCATATCTTGAAAACTAGAGCCAATCAACAATTGTAAGCATCATTTTTGTTCTCAGTGACCCAGAATTAGTAAAGTTTGACTACATTTATTTCAGAAGCATTTTGGCTGTAGAGCAGTGTTACAGGAGTCAAATACACAGAGGACTGGAGCTTCAGCTCATTGGCAAGTTCCATTCTCACCCCTCTGGAGGAAACAAAGATACTGGCTGGTTCGGTTACCTGCCTACCTGGGGCTTTGGCTTTGAAGAATCTCAGGACACCATCCAGGATGTTTCATCTTGACCTGTTTCCTGACTCTTTGTTGTTTGCTAATTGACGGTGCTTGGCTGCCCCCTTTGACTAGCCAGTAAAAACAACACGTGGTCTGGTAGCACTTTATAGACTCACAAAACACGTGGATGGGATCACGGAGCTTTCGAGGGCGCGGCCCACCCCTTCAGATGGCCGGAGTTCTGAGTAGGGGGTATGAAAACTCGAAATAAATAGGAGAGAGGAGGGAAAGGGGATAGAGGAAGATGCTCTGTCTCTCCCCCTGCCCCGCCTGCCCCTTACAGCCTTAGCAATCTATCTACTGACTTGGATTTGTATCTGCTTCGGCCTATCACTCATTCTCCAGTAAACAAGAAGGGGGGTGGGAGACAGAGCATCTCCCCCTCCCTTCTCCTATTTATTTCACGTGTTCATATCCCCTACTCGTAACTCTGATTATCTGGAGAGGTGGGCCGCGCCCACGAAAGCCCCCGATCCCATCGACATGTGTTGTGAGTCTATAAAGTGCTACCAGACCATTTGTTGGTTTTTTCCTGTAACAGACTCGGCTACCCCGAAGCTCCTAGTCTTTAGTTACTCGTAGACTAGGCTGTCCCTTGATATATTTTTTACCCTCTGCCTTTTCTTGTCCCCCCTTCCCCACTTTCCGCTTTTCAC